TTTCTTACCGTTGCACTTGTACATCTTTCCTATTTGCTTAATGTCACCAGCGCTCAATCCTTTCCTATTTTCACCAAAGTTTTTGCCTTCCTTTTTTTTGCTTTCCATCACTGGTGATTTTTTGTTTTTAGCGCCTTGCCATTTTGAGTAATGCATAATACTGTCGTAATCGTATTTAAAGCCCCGACTGTCCACCCATTTCTCATTGGCCTTTTCGAATTGGTCCCTGACCCATTTATCTGGAAATTGAAAAGGTTACGTATGATTCAATCTCAGTTAAAAATCTGAATATAATCTTGTAGTAGTGATTGAAATACACAATTTTACAGTTCCATTACACAGCCCTTTGCAAAAATTATTAGAATTGTCTAAATATCTAAATATCATAATATCCATATCCATATATTGTCCGGAACACGCGGGTTTGCTAGAATAATTCATTGTTGACATCGAGAAAATGTTCAGAGCTACGGATAAGTCTGTCGCCAAAAAAAACCTAAACTACAAAGACAAGGGACTAAGAGCATCGCGCGGGATTACCCATCATTCACTCGATATTATGATATTTAGATATTTCGACAATTCTCATAATGTTTGCAAAAGGCTGTACATCCTTATATAACATTATATGGGTATATAGAAACACACAATTCAATCCTTACTTTCTAGCATGTTATCCCATAGAATTTTAATATACTCGTCTCGGTCAGGACGCGACTGTTCGTGAAAGAAYCCAACCGCGTGTCCAATTTCGTGTATAGTGGAGCCYAATGGGCAAGGACTGTCAAAAATAAGAAACATAAAAAACATGTATAGGTATTCAATTTATTTTATCCCGCTATTCAACTTATCATTATGTAAGAGAATTAGACTCTGAATACCATAGCGAAGCCGTGCCTAGTTGTCTTTTAGTTACCCTGGTCCCAGAGGTTAATTTCATCTTTAATTTCATCTTTTATAGATGTTTTTTTTAGTTTATCGTATTTTTGTCTTTGCGTTTTAAATTTAACGACACGAGAAAACCTCTGGTCAGAACAGATAAAAATCTCATTTTCATGACACCCGCTTCGGATGACAACTGTCAAATATGTCATTTTTTGTCAACCAATCAGAAGAAAGGATAAATTTTGCCCACCCCTATGGGTATGGGTATATTTTCTAGCCAATCATATTACTGCTTTGGAAATTAAATGATAAGTTTCAGTTTTATCTTTTGTGCTTTAGATGGGTTTTCGTAGCWTTCTTTTTAGCGTATAAATGGATGGCGCTGTTGCTTCGATAAAGCTCAAGTCTCTTGTCCGCGAGGGGAATGGGACCCTCGAACGATCGAAAAAGCGACCAGAGGCATATCTTCATTGTTTTTTAAAATCTCAAAACCTCAAAACCCTGACACTGTTCCAGAGTGAAATCGCTGAAAACTATACCCTGTTCCAGACTAAAATCGCTGAAAACGATACTCTGTTCCAGAGTAAAATCCTGCACTAGCTTGATTGCGTGTAGACCGAATTTTTACCC